AATGACTAAAAAATAACTAAAATGTTTGCATCCTTACTGTGTATCAGCATTAAATGCTTTAAGACTCTTTAATCTCTACAACACTCCCAGGAATGTGTCATCCTCCCTATTCTATTGATAAGAAAAATCAAGATTTAAAGAACGATATCCAGAATATGTTAAGAAACTCCTACTTAGTAATCATCTTTTAATATATGCACACCTCAAACCATGTTGTACACCTAAAGCCAATATAATATATGCCAATTACATCTCAATTTAAAAGAAGCACCTACAAATTGATTTAAAAAAAAAGACAACCCAATAGAAAATGCGTGGAGACATAAACAATACATGAAAGATATTCGAAACACCAATAAACATGGGACAAGACCAGCCTTCTTCATCAAGGGAAATGCAAACCAAAACCACAGCGAGACCTCCACACGCGCACAAGAATGGCTGAAATTTAAGAGTAACAACTCTAAGGATTGGAAAAAAATGTTTCAGGTGATAAATTCAGCAGGAGCTGAGGCAAGAATATGGAAGCCAGAACAAATGTGGCTTAGCTCAGTTTGGTGGGGCAGAGAGGTGAATGATAAAAGTATTCTGGAAAAGTAGTTAGGACTCAGATCTGGAGGACCTTTAAGGCCCAAATAAGGACTTTAACCTATAACATACGATTAGCAAAGCAGAACCAAGGTATGGATGACACAATTTAATCTGAGTTTTAGGGTATACGAAAGGCTGCTGTGTGTGAATGTTCCAAGGGCATTCAACAAAGAAATTCAACAACTTTCGTTCTCCTACCCTCCGAAAGCTTTCTGTTCTCCACAATGTTTTGCCGTCAGTGCTCAATCACTTTGGTCCAAAATCTGCAGCTGCACCTCCCAGCCTAGTCAGGCCTTCCCTGTCCCTCGCTCACCAGCAGCTGTACCAAGGTCACGTGCAGCACTGAGCTTTCACGCAGGGACAGCCCCGTCACCGGCAACGCTCCTCGGCTTGCCCTGGGCCGCTCACAGTTCAGATCCAGTGGGGGTTTGGAGGCCCGGCTGCTGTCTGTCCTGGGACTTCTTTGCCTCTGCCGGCCTGTCCTCATCTCCTTCCTGCAGGCCCTGCGGTTCCTACGGGGCTTCTGCAACACGTAATTCAACATCTACCTGGAAGCCATCTTGCTTTGTTCTTGACTCTCCAATGAGACTGTAAAATTCTAGGTAAAAGCGATCGCATCTTTCACCCTTGCGCGCCCCACAGCACCGAGCATCAGGGGCGTACACAAGCTCCTTGTTAGTTCCTCTCCGTGACAGGAAAGCAGACACACCCTTTAATCCAACAGCTCCATCTCTAGAAATTCACCCTGCTATACTCACATAAACAGGCAGAAATATTATGACTGGAGATATGCACTGTTGATTTTAACAATTAAAACTAGATATAACCTAAATGTCTACTAAGAAAGACTAGTTCGTTTGAGTCTATACTGCCTATAAAACAAAACAAAATGTGGTACCTACACACGTAGACCATGACAGAGCAATGCGGGGGAGCAGCCGGAGAAAGGGGCGTGTCACAGGCCCTCTCTGACTTACTCACACACACACCAGTTTAGAAAAGCACAACGTTTTAGAATGATAATCTCTGGTAACTGGGGTAGACTTTTTAATCCAGGAACATTTCTATTTTGCTTGAAAAAAAGTTAATAAAGAGCACCTACAATGTTGGTAGTAAAAAAAATTTATATAGTTTCACTCACCACCCCCCAAAATTTTCATTTACAAAACAATTCACAATATGAATTTATTTTGTTTAAAACTAGAATACTACTATGCTGGAGTAGATGTATCAAAATAAATATTTAAAATATATGCCAACTGTTAATGATAGTTATTTCTACAAGAGGAATTACAGGAAACTTTCACATTCTAGGTTAGGTGTTTTTTCTTTTAAAAAAATAAGCATCTACTTTACTCATAAAGGCAAAAAGAAAATTATTTTTTTTAATCTTCCTCTCCCTCTCTCTCTGTGTTAATGATCATCCCAAAGAGCATTTGGTCTACCCAGCAACTTGTTAATCTGAAGAGAACAAGCTTAATTTTAATTGTTGGATGACTCAGGATGCTAAATCTGAGAAAACATTACAGGTATATCACACACATATAAAATAAATTCACAGACGTTATTAACAGAAAAACTACTTCTCTGCTAGGTAAATGTTAACTGTCTGTTTGATGAAGGGAATTCCTCTGTAGAGTTAACCTCAAACCTTCACTGAATCACTTACTATCAATATGAAGGGCTGACCATTGCATGGGTCCCTCCCAATACACTGTTCTGTTTTTAAATCTCTCTTCAGCGTCTAGAGTCAACCATAAATTTCCTGGGGCCCTTATTTCAGCGCCAGGACTTGAGATGAGACATGAATACATGTGCGTGTGTGTGTGTGTGTGTGTGTGTGTGTGTGTATATTTACTCTGAGGAACAAGAGAAAAGAAGGATGACAACCACTAAGTCACACAGACAGCCCCCACCGTGCCCCCCAAGGGAATGTTGATCGGTCTCAGTGGATGTGTGCTCCACACAGGATGTCGCAGCTGGTACAGGTCCCCACAGGCCCCACTGCAGCTCGGAGCTCACAGACGTCTGACTTAGAGCCCAGGCTTCTCTAGCAGGCCTCTGAGCAAAACAGGAGGAGCTGAGCGGCCCGTCTTTCCTGCAGGCTGTCGCTCCACACCCTTCTGACCCGCAGCATCAACCCAGACCCAACTGCCTTCTTGTTGTCCCCTCGGTCTTACACTGAGTCTAATAGCTCATCGCTGTTGGTACTGATTGACACGCATGACAGCTCATTAATACTGTACTCCCGATAACTCTGCCAACTATTCCTATTTTACAGAAGCAGCAGCTGAAATATAGTTGATTCCAGTATCCACATCCATGGAATCAAGCAACTGCAGGTCAGAAGAACTCAGGGAGGAAAGAAAAAGTTACATTATTGTGTCAGAATTGAACATGAAGTCTTTTTTTTCCCCCCTGTCATTATTCCCTAAAAAAAAAAAATACAGTATAACTATTTATATTGCATTATTAGAAGTGATCCAGAACTGATTTAAAATCTAGGGGAGGATGTACCTAGGTTACATGCAAACCCTACACCATTTTACACAGCGGGCTTGATTTCGGTGTCTGCAGGGTGGCGGCGGAGGGCTGTTTCCGGAGCCAGGACCTCTGGGATAGAAAGGACAACTGTAAAAAAATGGGGGAACTATTAAGTGGCAAAGCTAAGATTTAAACCCAGAGATTCTGATTCCTGGATCCCAGCTTTACTAGGCAGCACCCCTGTCTCTACCGTATACTTCTTTAGACCTGGAAAATACCAGAAACCTTCAGTCAGCAAAGCACTGAGGTTGAGTAACAACCCTGAAAGTCACCAGCACGCCTGGGTCCCATGTTTACTCTTGGGAACGCTGTTGGTCTGGCCAACACTGATAGCTGAGAACGAAGAAATTTAATTTGCAAAATGTTTATGTTTGCCAAAGCTTAACTTCTGAAAAGCTGTTTAACGTGTAAAAAACCCAACCTCTGCACCACATCAAACCTGTCTAGGTCATATTCTAGCTTGCTGTTTCCTTCCCTTGTAAAGAAGATATAAAGGGACACGTAAACAACTTAGCATAGGGGATATGACTGCAAAGTGTCAGGGGTCAGTGGCCCTTGCTGTTATTACTATTATCTTTTGATTGTTTTACTATCATTTCTCCCTGGAAAAACTGACAAGTTCAACCCAAATTCAATACCTTAAACCAGCGATTTTCAACTGGTATGCTGCAAGAATTTTCAAAACATGCAAAACCTGACTATTTAGTCAAGGGCATTGACCTCTTTTCCCTTAGATTGTCAAATAAAAAAAAAAATGACAACAGCCAACACAACAATAGCCATCTGGAGTGAGTGAATCAAAATTATCCTTTTTTTTTTTTTTTTTTTTTGTCTGATCACCAAACAATGTATTTTCTGGTGTGCCTCAGAATTTTAGGAATTAGTTTATATGTGCCATGAGATGAAAGAGGTTGAAAATCATTGTCTTAAAAAACAAACAAACAAAACCCCATGAATTTATGTACATGGTCCTGCAAAGGTAACACCTGCTTGAGTGTGATTGGTAGGGTAATAAACGGGTGAGTCATTTATAGCTTGAATGTGAACAATTCACCTAAAATGTCCTATTGTGTGCCTGAGTGTGATATTGTTATGCTACAGAATGACCTGCTTATGATTTTGTAATAAAAAAGAGGCCTTATTTGTGCTGGACTCTGTATTTACAGAAAACAAATTCAAACACTAAAAAATGATGCACTCCATTTGAATTATGAAACTGATAAACCAGAGAAATTCTATACAACACAAAAACAATAAACAGTAAATGAAAGATATATTTAATATTGCAAAATTACCACACAGGTAAATTACTACACTGAGAATAAACGCCACTGATACTTAGCCTCATAACACATTCCTTCCATCTATTTCCATGTGAATTACGATCATTTGAAACTTTTAAAATAAGAAAAATCCTTAAGTGCGTCTTATATCTTTAAAACATTTTGTATAGCCACTTAGTAACCATTTACTGGATAAACTCGGGCCCTTTGCAGGAAGTACAGGCAATAATTGAATGATCTTTACGCCTCTGACGTCTAAAATTCTGCTGTTAGAGACCAGAGCACAGTTGTTAAGAGGCCTCACAGATAACGTTACCAGCAGCTCGCAACCCTTCTCCAGGTGGAATGCAGACAATGTATTAAATCGTTTAGTGCTATAACTCTGCAGGGCAAGGACCAGGAAACTGAGGCGAGACAGGTTGAGCAATAAGCCTAAGGGTGCAGAGATAAGAAATCAGAAGCAGATTACTCTCTGCTGGGAACTATGCTGGGTCTATCTCGAGTCCAGTTTTTTCAACCCCTTCTGGACTCTGGGCAGAAACCCGTCAACGACACTGGGAAAGGTGGAAAAACATACAGTACCAGTGGGAAGCAGGGGTTCCAACGGGGTAAAGGCATGCTCCATATCGGATTATTAGCCTCTGCATTAAAAAAATAAAATAAAAATGCCACGTTAGAATTTCTATCTAAACGGCACATGAAATCGCCAGAACATTTGACCGCTTCAATCCCGCGCCCCGGGCGGCGTGCTCCGGGAGGATGGGCCCGGTTCCGCCGAGGTCGACCCGCGGGGAGAAACAGGGACGCTGGAAGCCGGGTCCCCTTGCGTTTTCAGGGTGCTCGGGGCACTACTGGCGGGCAAGGTGTGCGCCATTACGGGCCGCCCCATCTAGCCTCTCCCCGCGCATCCGTCACCATCCGGGAACTAGACACGCGAGGGGCGCCCAACCCCTCCCCGCGCTCGCCACCCCATTCCCGGGCCCGCGCACCGAGGACGCGAGTCTCGCAGAGCTGCTGTCACACTTACACAGTGGCGGGTGGAGCCACGAGCGGCTGAGCGCAGGCAGCGGAAGCGAGAATATCGACCGCTCGGCAATCAGCTGAAGCACCTAGAGCCGCGCGCGGCAGGCGCTCGCGGGCTTAAGTAACGGTCGTGCGAGGACGCCCCGCCCCTTTCCAAGAGCCGCACCGCCCTCGAGGTGCGCGCCCCGCCGGAACCGCACGTGCCCGGCGCTGTCTGAGCCCCACTGCTCGTCGCTGACTGCCTCCAGCCCGGCTCTCTGTGCGTCATAGTTTTGTTTTATTTTGTTTTGCTTTTTTGTTATTTGGAAGCAACTTGAAGCCTCCTATTGGCAGCTCCACTCGCTCCAACACGCCGCAGGTGACGAGGCTATCCTTTTGCCAGGCAACTTTTTTTTTAACCCGACCGAGCAAACTTAATAATACCCAGAAAAGTTCTCTTTGGGCAAAAACCCTTCCTTGTATCTGCCGTTGCCTTTCCACCACCCACAGGATCCCCACCTGTTGGAGGGATTCCCTGGTCCTCGGAACCATCTTAAATGCATTTGAACACAGTTATGCTCCCAGGCTTTAAATATTCTCGGCTAAATGCAATTTGCACAAGGCTCTTATAGGACGGGGATTTCAGATTCTGGTACCGTGGTTCCCATCCTCAATGTGTCATGTTGCCTACAAATAATTTCCCCTAGAACTGGTCAGACCTGCACAGCTGACCGCACGCAAATCCCTGCACTAAGAGACCTGAGGAGCACGAGCGAGGGAGCGTGGCTTCCAGAAGCATTGAGTGTCCCCAGGATGACCCCAGGCGCGCACGCCCATGAAAGTGCTGAGAAAGCTCGGGGCTGCCAGGAGAAATCACTCATTAGTGCAACACTGATTGCAGGCCCCTAGCCTCCCAAACGGCTGAAAGTTGAGACTGTGAATCTCTATCGAGTCACAAGCGTCACACTCAAGGACCGGAGTGCATCCCTTTGACATGTGGTCCTGGGGAGGGCTAGGGCCTCTGTCTCCCAGTCTCCGTGGGAGAGCAGGATCCTCGCTTTCATAGGTGCCAGCTGGCGAAGAGCCGGCCTCATCGTATTTGCACTGACCAGCTGTTTGTAATTTTTAACTTCTCTTGACTCCACTGAGAATACCCCCCACCACCACCCCCTCCCTTATTCTCCCTTTGAACTGTCCGAACCTCTGCACACATCGAAAGGGAGCGCCGCTCTTTCCCCCACTGTCCACAATCTCTAAGTAAGCTGCTTTCACTGCTTTAACTAATGGCCGGCTGTGTTTGTCTCTGCCATTGGTGACGATATCCAAGGAGTGATCCAACCGTAAAGAGCACACCGCCGCCGGTGCTCACTACCTTTTCTAGCGGTCAGGTCAAACAGAACTTCCAGGCATTTTTCACTAAGTCAAGTATATACATATCTCAGACCCAATTTGAGACCAACATACTAGGGACTATAAGTTTGTATTTGCAAAGTGAAATGTTATATGAGTTTGTATTCACAGACGCAGCAGGCCGTTTCAACCATGTCACTTACCACTTGTGGGACATTGGCACTCGACCTCAGTATCCTCAGGTATAAGATGGGAACAATGTCGCCAACTGTGGAAGGGCTCTGCAAGGATCAAGTGAGTGGGTTACAGATAAACACCTGGCCAGGTGCCCTGCATATAACAGGCTTGCAACAAATGTCCGCCTCCATCAATACGGCCCCCAGATAACCCTCGTTGACTTGACTGTTTATATCTGCAGCTCATATCGTGGTAAAGTGTTCTCTGTGTATATGGATCAAGTTTCTCCCAAAGTCTCTAAGAAAATTGAAATCTTTAACCATGACAAATTTCGGAACTCTGCATGTGTGAAGATGCTACTAGTGAAACTCAAAGGCAGCCAGCTGGAGGTGGGGTGAGAATATTTGCACACGTACCAGACAAGTGTTTGCTAGATTTATGTCAGATGAAGAACTGCAAACCCATCAGTAAAAGGCAAACAAACTAGTCAAATGATGACTGAGGATATACACAAGCAAATCAAATCACAGAATACATTCAGATGGCAAACAAACAGGCAAAAAACACACCATCACTAGCGCGCAGAGAAGCAGGTCTGAACAATAAGATACATTTACTTGCCAGCTTGCAAACAATTTTTAAGTAATAATACAAACTTAAGTTTACTAAGCAATAATTATGATTCAGGCACTGTGTGAAGGTCTTTTATATTTTATTTAATTACCCTAAAATGTAGGTTCCAAGAGAACAAGGACCAAATTTTGATTGTTTACCTTTGGATCCTCACTCTGTAGCACAGGTGCTGGCAAAGAGCAAGCAACCAATGAGCACTTACTGAATATTAATGAGGCAACTGATAGCAAAAGCCTGGAATGCTAGTGCTCCAGTTCCTCTCACAGCTGCTCATCTGTCACACCTCAGCGCCAAACTGACTTCCCGCCCGTGGTTACTCTTTGTCTCCCCAAAGATTGTGTGTTTGCCTGCATGGCAACGCTCATGATCTGTCGTGTTGACTTAGTCATTTACCCGTTTCTGCGTTGTGTCCCCTACTGGAGTTCGAGCTGCCTAACAGCAGGGACATACCCATTTTATTCAGTGCTGTTTCTCCAGCCAAACAGGATACCTCACTCGTGGTAAGGGTTCAATAAATATTTTAAGTGGATTAATAAATGGCGGCAAAGTGGACATTTATAGATCAACCAGGAATTATTTAAAAGATTAAACTAATCAGTATACCCTCATGTGAAAAAATGGCCAGGATGTAGTCAATTTTATAAAAGCAAGTGGTAAAATACTCCACTTACATCTATTTTAATGTATTTAGATATCTTTAGGGAGAATTGTAAAACTGACCTCTGAGAAAAAGAGCTGGAGTGTGTAGGAGGCAGGGGTCTGAGGGAAATACTTCTTTTTATTTCATACACTTTTATATTTTGTTACCTTAATATTTTTGCAATAAGCATATTCAAGAAATGTGTTTGTAAAAATGTATATTAACAGAAATTAAAGCATCGTGCATCCTTAGTGTTAATCCTTGGCATTTTGGGCTTGGCGTGGGGGCTTCAGAGAAGGCAGTGCGCAGAGAGACATGGTCCGACTTCCGGAGGGGAGATTCCATAGCTTCGACCAAATCTCCGAAGGGTTCTATGACCCCCGGACTCCCCCAGGGAGGAAGGAGCCCCTGCTCGCAGGTGACGTGGTCTCCTGGCAGTATCTCCAGGATACAAAGGTGGCAATGCCGTCTCCGCAGCGATTACCCTCCACTCTGCACCATTTTCTTGAACTGGTGGACATCAAAATATAGGGCATATTGTTGCAAAAGATTCTACAGTAAAATTTTTCTACAGTGAAATATCTCAGACTTCTGCACTCTATCACCTACTCCCTTATAGATTTGTAACACATTATCGATCTTTAAACATCTCCTGAAGATCAGAAGTGGGGAAGCTATTTATCTCCAAACCCAGAGCTTCTCAAAGACGTGGGCACATGTAACACTGTTTGGGGTTTTGTTGTTGTTGGGTTGCTTGTCTTTTTGTTTGTTTGTTTGTTTGTTTGTTTGGCACATCTGAAACCAAGACACTGACCCGCAGGCCCACCTGCCCACCGCCACGAAAGCCAAACCCATGAGGCAGGCTCTGGTTGAGAAGGAAAGGGGTTTACTCAGGAGTCGACAACCCGAGAAGACGGCAGGCTCATGCCTCCAAAACCGTCCTAGCACCTCAGGCGTCCTGGTTAGATTACACAGGGGAACCATGGCAACGGGGCGCTGAGGAAATCCTGGCAACGTAGCAGTTTCTCAGCTCTGCTCCCCGGTGGTCTCACTGTTACCTCCGGCGTGTGTCATCGGTAGCTCCATTGCTCCACCTCCTCCTGTTTCATGGCTGATGTTCAGGAGCAGGACATGCAGGTGGAGATTCGGCTGGTTCCAACACGAGTGACGATGCTTGTCCAGGTCTTAGGCTCAGCGTTGTCCCTTGGTCAGGCAGGAACCGCAACTGCTGATGTCTACAAATTACTCATAAGAAATTTTAATACATGCTTTTTCTGAGTTCATTAGTACAACTTACAATTCTATAATTACTACTTGATTGGTATATTATGTTTTTTTCAATCATTATTACACATCTTTTAAAATGCTGCACAACAGTGTTGCTCCAAACAGTTGATGGGGAAAAACTCCGAGACTCCGAGCCCAGGTGCCAACTCCTCTTCGCTGCGACAGCTGTTCCCTTACTGCCGCCACCAAGTCGTCTTGGAGTGGCCAGCCTTTGACCATCAGCTCATTGATTTCCTCATCGATTTCCGCACTGTTTTCAGAAGATCAAACCATTCTCTCAACTGCAAGTGCAAGTATCCACTCTGATCCCACTTTAGCAGCTCAAGCAGTAATTCTAGCCACTTGTAAGGTATCTCCACTTAAATATTTCACCACTGCCTCTGATTCAAGTGGCTAAAACTGAAATCACTAATTTCTTCTTCTTAGAGTCCCCATTTCTCTCCTTGGTGTCATTATTCTTCTGCATTCTTTGATAAACAACTTCAATTTGCCTTTTCTTTCACTCCATAAACTCAACAAGTTGTCAGCTTTTATTCTATTGATCACTTATTCCAGCCTGTTGAGGTCAATCTGGATCAAGATTCTATCAACCTTGCCATTTCCTTTCATCCATCAATCACAATTATCCATATTTGAAAGTCTATCTAAAGTATCATCTTCTCTGAAAATTCTTCCCTGAGGTTCATTCAAACCCCTCACAATTAATCTCATTTTGCTCTGTAATCTCATAGTATTTTTTAATAGCCTTTTCCAAAGTCTCACATACAGAAGTCCTCCCTTTTCCTCCAGGGACATGTTCCAAGACCCCCAGAAACTAAGAATAGTACCAACCCCTATACGTACATACCCTATAGATAAGATACATACATACATGCATGCCTGTGATGAAGTTTTATTTATAAAAAAGGCACAGTGAGAGATGAGCAACAACTAATAATAAAATAGCACAGTTATAACAATACACTGTAATAAATGTTGCGTGATAATGGACCTGAACATTTAGGAGACAATTTTATTCAGGC